TCCCTGGTCTCCCAGCACTCTCAATTTCTCTCTAGGAGGGGGCCTCCTGGATCTGTTTTCTCCTGTCTCAGGATTAAGCTCTCTGAAGGCCCTCGGCTCTGACTACTGGGACCACACCATTGTGTACCACGTGGTCCACAAGGCCACACAGTCTCCCACCTGCAGGGGAAGCTCCAGGGGGCAGGCCTGTTCCCCTCCCAGAGCCCAGCACAGGGCTGGGGACGCAGCCAGCCTGAGTAAATGCCAGTTGAATGAGTAAGCAACAGCACTGAGAAAGGGCTCAGGACCCCTCTGGCCACCACATGGCTGATGGCTTGAACAAATGTGAGCTCCCCGAATGTGTGGCACAGCCTAGCACAAAGGTAATCCCAAATTCCTCTCCCCAGTTTCCTTAGGAGTGTAGAGGTGAAAAGAACGGTCAAAGCCAGGCTGGAACAGCCAGGAGGGCCCGGCGGATGGGACATCAGCTGGCCTGAGGCAGGACATCCCTGGAACAGATGGCCAGGGTTCAAATCCCAGCTCTGCTCTCTACTCCTGAGTGCTCTTGGGAAAGTCTTTAGCCTCTCTGCACCTCAGTTTTCCTTTGCTTCCATGTGGCTCAAATGGTAAAGAATCTGTCTGCAATGTGGGGGGCCCAGGTTCAAGAGCTGGCCTGGAAAGATCCCTTGGAGAAGGGAATGGCAACCCACTCCAGTATTCTTGCCTAGAGAATCCCATGGACAGAGGACCCTGGCGGGCTATAGTCCATGGGGTCACAGAGGCAGACACAACTGAGCGACTATACTTTCACTTTTCACTTTCCTCATCTGTAAAATGGGCTGCCACGAAGACTAAATGCAAAATATCAGAACAGAAATTGACATGTAATACACGCTATATAAATATCAGCTGTTAATATTGTTACTGCTGCTAGCACAGGCTGGGTGATGGGCATCTCTCCACACATCCCCAGCGGCCACGTGGCCACCCTCTCTCTCACAGCTCCCAGCCCCTAGGAGCGGCAGGCAGTAAATTCTCCTATCTCCTCATAAAGCAGACCTTCCTCCGCTCAGCCATCACCTGGCTGGCAGAGCTGTCAAGAAGACAGATGCCACTTCTGCTTTGTTTACAGCTTTAATCCCCAAGCCCTGTTCTGCAGGCTCCCAGGGAAGGGCCAGGAGAAGAGGAGCGAGGCAGGCACTGCCCTCCCGCAGGCCTGACAGCTGCAGGGATGCCACTCAGTGACCCCTGTCTCGCTCAGGTGTGGGGCCGGCCACAGGCCACCTTCCTGTGCTTCCTGCAGACCACTTCCCCCACCTTACCCAGGAAACTGTGAGCAAGGCAGCCCTGCTCGGGATGGGGATCAAGGGATGGGAGTGAGTAGTATGATTCCCATTTTACAGAAGAGGAAACTGAGGCCTCAAGAGTTGACCTGCCCGAGGTCACACAGCTAGGAAAGTGGCAGCACCAGGATTCACACCAGCTAAGGGGGACTCTCACAGCTGTGCATTTGAGAAAGGATGGGTGCCCACGACCCCTTGCCATTTTGAGACACACCAACCCAATCTTCTGGAGCAGGAAATAGCAATCCACTCCAGTATTCTTGCCTGGAGAATCCCATTGACTAGAGGAGCCTGGCGGGCTACAGTCCATGGGGTCACAAAGAGTCAGACACGGCTAAGCGTCTAACACGACTAAGCGTCTAACACACACACAGCCCAATCTCCAATTGCCAGTATCTGCTGCTATTCTGAGGCTCTCTGGCCACAGAAGCCCTCTTTGCCATTTGGACGAGGCATTGAAGAATTAACATCCTCCAGGGCGAACCAGCAATGACAGACAGGAGGGGCTCCCCTGCCAGGTTAGGACTCAACACTGTCGTTGCTGGGGCCCAGGTTCAATCCCTGGTTGGAGTACTACGATCCCACAAGCCACACAGTGCAGCCAAAAAAAGTATTAAATAATCAATTTTTTTAAATGATTGACAGGAGGGAATGCCCTGGCAGGTCCAGTGGTTAGGACTTGGCACTTTCACTGCCAGGGCTGAGGTTCAATCCCTGGTTGGGGAACTAAGAGCCCACAAGTCACAAGGTGCAGCCAAAAAATAATTTAAAATTGATCAATTTTTTAAAAAACGATTGACGAGAGTTGGTGTACACACACCCTGGCTCCCTCACACCTCCAGTGAGATGACTGGCAGGCGTGCTTCCTCCTGTCCCCAGAGACCCCAGTGGAGTAAAGCTCCAGCTGTTCGCGGGGGTGACCTGCTTGGTATCACACCCTTGATGGCTGCCTTACCTCCGAAACCAAAGTTTCCTGGGATCCCCTCCCAAAGAAACAACTAACCATCAAACCCTAGTCTGGAGGGGAACTCAATTTAACACCTTCAGATCCTGAAGGATGAATCAGATCTTCCCAAGTGTAAGACCCCAGCATGAGATGGTCCTTCCCGCGCTCTTGGAAGGTCACCAGGCATGTTCTCATCCTGGGGTGGGAAGGCGTGGACTTGGCAGAGCACAGGGCAGTGAGATCACCCAGTGATCTGAACACAGGAGCACCCAGTGAGACCGTGGGCAGGGCAGCAGGGCCCATGGGACTGAGATAGAGGCTGACTATCCAAACTGTTAGCATCGCGGGGACGAGTGGACCCACCCAACATCACCAGCGTGGACAACCAGCATCCTGGGAGAGGTGAGTGGGAAGCTAGGCTTAGGAGAGAGAGTGAGGCAGGTGAAGAACACAGGGCTGGCGCAGGGCCAGCGAGAGGGGGTGCTCAGACCATGGAAGGGAAGGCGGCGGGAGAGGCAGGCGGGAGAGTCAAACCCCCTGGTTACCAATCCAGTTCTGCCAATTCTCTAGCACTGCAGTGTTCACCAGTTACCTCAGTGTCCTCTTCTGTAAAATGGGTGCAACAATTATGATGCTGTCCTCCGTCATCGGGGATCCTACAGCTAACAGAATCCTTACGACAGACTTGAGCTGTTAAATTACCCAATTGCATCTAAATCCCATCTCTTCCCTTTCCTCTCTATCAACAACTACCACCAATTTTTTTTTTAAAGAAAGTTTGGAAGTAGGCTATTTTATTTATTTTTTTGACTCCACATGAGGCATAGAGGGTCTTAGTTCCCACACCAGGGATCAAATCCTTGCCCCCTGCATTGGTAACCCAGAGTCCTAACCACTGGACTGCCAGGGAAGTCCCCAACAATCATCATTTTATGAGCACTTACCATATGCATCATTTTTCAGCCAGCTTCTTCATACCCCTCAAACACATCACCTATCCTCCCAACAACCTGTTGAGATGAGTGGTGGCTTCCCTGCCCTCTCTGGGACTCAGACAGATTAAATAACTTGTCCTAGGTCACAGAGCCAGAAGGAAGCAGAGTCAAACCCAGTCCCTGATGCACTGACAGGTGCCAAGTCCCAAGCCCATAGTCCACAGGTGTCACCCCGGCCCTCCTGGCCTAAGATGTTCTTCCAAGGGAACAGCTCAGCTCAAACCTGGGTGAGGCCCTGGGAAGCCAGGGCTGCCTCCCCCCATCCAGGGTGGTCTCAGCTTCCACAAACGTTCCCATAGCTTCCCCACGCCTCACGTCACCCAGACATGGACGAGTTCACTGTACCTGGCCTGGGGCCATACAAGGACCCTCACCAGCCTCTGCTGGGGCTTCCGAGGCAGCTGGAAGGATCCAGGTCAGCTGGAACATGCTGTCCTTCGGTCCTCCCTGGCCACCCCGAGTTCACCCCAGGCTCTCCTGCTTTGCTCAAGCCTTCCCCTCACCTGGGGCGTGTGCCATTCCCCCTCCTGTCACCCACCTCTCCTTCCAAGCCAATGGTTCCCATACTTGGCTGCACAGCAAACCACCTGGGGCACCTTTTAAAAAATCCCAGTGCCCAGGTGGCACACAGGACCAATTCCATCAGAATGTCTGGGGCTAGGAGCCAAGCATCAGCGTTTGAAAAGAACCCCAAGTGACTGGATGTGAACAAAGCTGCTCTTGCCCGATATTCCCAACCCTAAATACACACTGGGAGAGCTTGAAAAACAACCCACTCCCAAAGTTCTGCTTAGCGGGTCTGGGGGTGAGGCCCTGGTAGAGGTTTGGTTTTTTTTTAATTGGAGGTTAATTGCTTTACAACGTTGTGTTGGTTTCTGCCATACAATGTGAATNCCATAAAATGTGAATCAGCCATAAGTGTACATATATCCCCTGCCTCTTGAACGTCCCTCCCACCCCACCCCACCCCTCTAGGTTCTCACAGAGCACTGGGTTGCGCTCCCTGCATTACACAGCAACTTGCCACTAGCTTTCTATTTTACATATGATAATATATATGTTTCAATGCTACTCTCTCAATTTGTCCCACCCTCGCCTTCCCTCACTGTGTCCACAAGTCTGTTCTCTATGTCTGCATCTCTATTCCTGCCCTGCAAATAGGTTCATCAGTACCATTCTCCTATATTCCATATATATGTGTTAATGTATGATATTTGTTTTTCTGACTTACTCTGTATAACATGCTCTAGGCTCATCACTAGAACTGACCCAAATTTGTTCTTTTTTATGGCTGAGTAATATTCCACTGTATACATGTACCATAACTTCTCTATCCATTCATCTGTTGATGGACATCTAGGTTGCTTCTATGTCCTGACTATTGTAAATAGTGCTGCAATGAACACTGGGGTACATGCGTCTTTTTGAATTGTGGTTTTCTCAGGGTATATGCCCAATAGGGGGATTGCTGGGTCATATAGTAGTTTTTTTCCTAGTTTGTTTGTTTTTTAAAGGAATCTCCATACTGTTCTCCATAGTGGCTGTATCAATTTACATTCCCATCAATAGTGCAAGAGGGTTCGCTTTTTTCCACACCCTCTCCAGCATTTACTGTCTGTAGATCTTCGATGACAGCCATTCTGACCTGGGAGAGTTTTTAAAGATCCAGGTGATGCTGACACACAGCCAGGCTTGAGAGCCACCATCTTACGAAGTGTCTCCCATCAGTCTTCTCACCTGCATCCCCAGACACCCTCTGGGCTGGCTCATCATCTATCCCATCTTTCAGATGAGAAAGTCAAGGCCCCGAGAGGGCACAGCTGGCTGAGGTTGAGGGGTACCCAGAGCCCTCCCACGGTCCCTGACACCAGGTCCTGCTGCAGAGTTATCCAGACCAAGAACTCACAAGGACCCACATCCAACCATATCTAATGTGGACACGCTAAGGCAGCCACAGCAGCGGGCCAAGGATTGAGAGCTCAGTTCTGGGCCCACATCTTGCTCTACTGCCTTCCACCTGTGGGAACTCAGGTTCCTTTACTTACCTCTCTGAGCCTCTTTTTCCAATCTGTAAAACAGACCCGTTGTCCCATCCTCCCATGGCTCACTCCCTGTCCTTTTCAGGACTCTGCTGAAATGTTACCTTGCAGGGAAGCCAGACTCTTATCTATTTTGTTTCTACTGCACATTTTCCTTCTGACATAGTCTACAGTTTACTTTTTTTATCTTGTTTATTGTCTGTCTCCCATTAGAATAAAAATGCCAAGAGCTTTTTGGCTTTCATTCCCTGCTATATCCACGATGCTTAGAAAAAGGCCAGGCGCTGGGAGTCAAACTGATGTCTGTAGAGTGACTGCGGGACCCTCAAGGTGTTAGAGACGCTCAGACCAGTGAGTGGCAGGGTGCACGGGGCAGCTGGGGTCAGTCAGTTCTGTGGGCTCGCCTGGGGGACGTCCAGATGAAGCCCAAGGTGGTCACCCAGAGGGCGGCTCTGCCCAGATCCAGGAACCCCTTCCCCTATAAGCAGCGTCACCGACGGCTGGTAGCTTGAGAGAGTTGGAAGTTGTCCTCCCAGAACTCGGCAAACCATATGTTGCGCCGGTTGTTGTCCAGCGTGCGGCTGGAGAAGTAGCGGTCGAAGCCTGGCGGGGAACCAGGATGTCAGGACCCGGCGCCCCTCTTTCCACCCGTCCCCAGCCCTTCGCTCTTCTCGCCGCTTAGACGCTTAGACGAGGCGCGGGAGGACGAGGTGGGGAGGAAGAGGGCACCCTCTGATCTAGGACCCAGGGGGAAACGTTTAATTTCCTTTCTGGTGAAAAGAGCTGGGTTAAGTTCCAGGGGGAGCCTGTGTGATCAAACAACGGCTGCCTTTATGGAAGAAGTACAGGATGAGGATGTTTGCGCTGGTTCTTAACTACGGAAATGCTAATATGGGGCTTCTTGGAGAAGGAACCACCTGGAGATCCTGAGATGAGAGCAGAGACGCTGGTGGGGGTGGGGGGTCGGCACCCAGTCCTGGGAGCACGTGAGCTCTCTGGTTCTGAAGAGGAGATGGAACCAGAGAGTATGCGGACTGGCCCAGGTCACATAGCAAGACAGGGGCCTGAATGGTCCTCCTTCCAGTCCAGAACTTCCCCATCGCTGACTGAGGCAGCCTCCTTCTCCAAATGCTCCAGAGCACTTATCAACTCTGCTCCAAGCCCAGAAAACCCGGACCCAGGGTGGCAGGCTGGTGGGTGAATAAGGCCTTCTCTCCTCCCCCTGCCTTCTGCACCATGACCATTCCGCGTCACATTCACAGTTGACCGAGCTGCTGGGAACAGACTGGAAAGCCTAAAAGTTCACCCAGCAAAGAGTTCCTGCCGGTGGCAGGGCCCAGTGGAGGCTCAATGACTGTCTGTTGGAGCTGTCGGGGAGCTGCTGGCACTGGTAAGGTACTGGTTGAACGAGTTTCTCAACCTTGACACTACTGACACTGGGCCAGTTCACTCGTTGCTGGTGGGGGGGTGGGCGATGGCCGGGGGAGGCTGTCCTGGGCATTGCAGAATGTTGAACAGCATCCCTGGCCTCCACCCACTAGAAGCACCACTCCCTGCTCATGACAACTAAAAATGTCTCCAAACATTGCCAAATGTCCCTGGGGATCAAAATCACCCCCTGCTGAGAACCACTGCTTTCGTGGTTTCTCTGGTGCCCCAGAGAGAAAAGGGATTTGTCTGGCAAGTCCTGGGTTCAGATCCTAGTTCTGCTACTTAATAGCAAGTATGTGTGACTTGCTGCCACCAAATGTCACTTAACCTCTTTGAGCCTCAGTGTATTCACTTACTAAATGTGGGGTTGCTGGAAAGAGTAAATGAGATGTCTGTATGAGACGTGGCATTTGTGGGTACCAAGAGCCGTAGTGTTTGTTATTTTGTGCTTATTATGGCTTGAAGCTGAGAGGGGCGGTGTGGAAACTTCTGGCACCTGTGTTCCTTCTGCCTCAGGGTGAATAGAGGACATGGCCATGTGACCCATGTCCCTCCCCTACTCAGACCTCGGTCTCTGGAAAAGTTTGGTGGAGGTAATGTCTGCAGGCTTCCCAGCTCCATCAATGCTGATGTCTGTTGACCTCAGCGAGAGCAGGGGAGAAGCCCCTGGGAGCCTGTCACCACCATGGGGAGGACAGTGAGGTCCCCGCCAAACTGGGCCTTTAATAGGAACTTTGCGCCTCACTCACAGCGTGGCTCCGGCCAGAGCAATCTGTTCCTGCCCAGGGTGACTGAGTTCTGTCCCAGGAGGAAGGGATGCCAGGCAGGGCAGGCCCCCACCCACCCCCAGCCCACCCAGGGCCCACCAGGACTCCGCAGGGAGGCCCCTGTCCCTAGCCTGGCACCCTTTTCTGGTAACCTGCTGGCAGCTCCCAGGCCCTTCTAGCAGAGGACATGCTCCCAGTGGGGCAGGGGTCTCACTTCATCTGTCCCAGGTAGGAGAAGGGATGAGAGAATATAGGGGTGAAGGAGAATTCTTGATAAATGAGCCTCCTGTACTTGCCACCACCCCCAACACCCATGAATATCTGAGACAGGAGAAAGAAGGACCCTGAGTGTGGCTTCTAACCCCACTGGGACGAGTGTGGCCAGGAAGGCCTCCCAGCCCAGAACCCGAGCACAAAGAAGCTGGGAGCCAAGGAAGAAGAGGACAGGATGCGGGAAAACAAAGAGCTGGTGAGGGATGGTGGGGGGGTGGGGGTCGATAAGAAGGACCCGTCAGGGTGATGCTGATGGCGGGGCACACGGAGCCAGGGGCGGGTGGTGGGCACGCCGTTGTGGCTGCCGGGCCTACCTCGCACGGACATCCTCTTGGGGAGGATGGTGACGGCGCCCTCGGCCACCTCCTCCAAGTGCAGCACAGGGGCGATCTTGGAGCCCCAGCTGTCCGAGCCCATCCAGAAGAAGTGACCGGTCTGGTTGGCCTTCCGTGCCGCCTCCAGCACACGCCTGTGGGGACACGCACCAGCCCAGCCCAGCCGTGTCTGCCCACGGGCTCCCCGTCCTGGCCACACCTGCCCTTCCCCCAGGCTCATTCCTGTCCCCCTCACAGCCTGTGCCTGGATGCCCCATCCTGACCCACAGGAGCCTGGGGCCCACAGCCACCCCGGCGCCCACACCTGGACTCCCAGGCCCCCAGTTCCCTGCTGCCTTGACCCACACCTGCCTACAGGCCCACGGCTGCCCTTCACCCACACTGCACCCCTGTAACTGCCTGTGCCCTGGGCCCACAGGTGCCTACGGGCCCAGTGTGGTCTCCCAGACCCACTCTTACCCCTGGGGCTACCTCTGTCCCTGCCGAGACCATGCCTGTTTCCCTCCGGTTGGACCTGCCCCATGTCTGACCTGGGGCCCCAGAAACACATCTGCCCAAGCTCTGTTCTCTGAGGCTCCCAGACCCACACCCCTTGGCCCTTTGTCACATTTCTATCCACTGTCACACACACACACACACACACCCCAACACCTGTCCCCCTCTGCACCCCACCTCCTTCTGTGCCAAAAGTCCAGGTGCTCCAAAGAACTGCCCCCACTGCCCTCGCAGACGGATGAAAGGTTACAGGCAGCCAGGGGCTCCCCACCGCCACCCAGGCCACAGTGACAGTGGTCCTAGTCAAGTCAGGGGCCCTGGAGCCCCACGCAGGGTCCAGCCCACAACGGCGCTCAGTCAGTGCTAATGGATGCTTGAACTAAGTGGCCCCTCAGAGACATCTTCTAGAAGGAGAAAAACAGGAAGGACTGGGCAGAATTCCCCACCATGTATCTCATCCCATGGGGACAGACGGGAGCAGAGAGGAGGCAAACAACTTGCCCAAGATCACACAGCAAATGAGAGTCCAGGATACTGGAAACTGGCCAGCTTGTCCCTCGGACAAGGCCAGGACAGACGGCGGGACTTGGGGCGACTGCCAGACCTCTGCAGGAGGAGGCCAGCTGGGGCAGGAAGCCTCGGGCTGCCAGGGAGAAACATGTTTCCTCACCCCAGGGCCCACACCTGCCCTCCTCACCGTCTCTTGACTCTCCTAGGCCCCCAAGGCTGCTGCAGCCCCCGCAGGGCCCCCTAATTGTAGGCGAGGCTGCTCTCAGAACCCACACCGCAGCCCTATTATTACCGCCTGCATCCGGCCAGCCAGAGATGACCAGAGCTCCCAAGGCTCCAGCTCTGCAAAGTCACCTGGGTTTATTTTTACCTCTGTTTGCTTCTGAAAACACATGTGGATTTCCAGAAAGGCGCCCCCCCTCCCACATACCACCCAGCTGCTCAGGGAGTCAGCCTAAGGCCCTCCCCCGTCTCCCCCAGGTGACCCTTCTCTGGGACCCTTGGCCTGGCGCCCTCATCTCCCCTCCCCACGTGTGGGTCTATCAGGGCCGCTCAGGAGGTAGCGAGTGGGGTGTGTCCCTGGATGGGGTGGGGGGCCCCGAGTGGTGCTGGGCTTTGACATGGGAGTGTGGGCAGGGAGCAGGGACTGACTGAAGGGAGGCGAAGAGCCCAGAAGGAGCTCCTCCTGCTCCAGGTCCCTGCGGAGACAGGGACACTCAGGGCCAGCGTTTAGGGACCCTGAAAGCTTTGTGGGGAGCGGGAGCAGCTCAGAGGTGCCAGGTGGACCCTGAGGGCTCCCGCACCCTGAGCCTTTGCTGCCTGAGAAACACCCATTAGAGCTGGCACTTATGGCTATGGAGGCCTTAATGACCTTCCAGAACATTCCCCTCCATCCCTGCTAGCACCCAGCAATATCTCCTGGGAGAAAATCTGTTTTGCTGCAACTCAGGAGTCCAGGATGAGGTCTTTCCAAGTGGGAAAGAGTATTGGAAAGAAAAGCGGACCCAGAGTGGATGCTGGTTAGCAATGGGGAGGGGGCCACATGGAGGCAGGGTAGACCGGGCAAGCTGGGCTGGGCAGGTGGGCAGGTGGGCCAACTGTCTGAAGGAGGCAGTCTGGGGAGATCACATCTCCTCTGCAAACATGGGGTGTGCCTCCCCAGCCAGATTCTCGGGGGGGCTGTGTCTCCCCCTCAGTCTAGGGAATCAAGGAGGCCGGCCCTTCTTGGCCGTGACATCCAGTCTTAAAGAGGTGGTAGGGAGAGAGAGCAGGAAGAAGGGAAGTGCCTTAGGAAGGGTGCTCAGGCGTCACCTTTTAAGGACACCTGAGACTCTGACCTGTGACTCAGTACCCAGGGGCAGGTGTGCAGGGAGGCGGACTGCTCCTGTACCGCATGGTTCTGGCACCTGGAGTCCGCCTGCCCCCACTCTGCAAATGCGGAGACTGAGGTCCAGGGAGGGGATGATACTGCCCAGATGAGTGTGTGCCCAGATCAGGACTAGAACCATAGCCCAGGCCTCTTCCCACTGCCCTGAGCTCACCGAAGGGAGGACAGGGGTGCTGAGAGACGGCCACCCCTACCTCCTGCCAGCCTCTGCTCCTTCCTTCGTGCACATTCCTGCATTCAGTGCTCCAGCAACACTATCAGGCAGGCTTCATTAGCTCCATTTTTTTTTTTAAAGCAGAAGAGAAGCCCAGAGAGGTTGAGAAACTTGCCTGAGGTCACACAGCTAGTTGGAGGGAGAGCAGGGTTCCCACCTAGGGGCTCTGACCCCAAGCCCACGGCCTTAGCCCCTCTGTAAAAGGACCCGCTAACCATCCTGAGTTGGTAGAATGGATGTAGGAAACGGGGAGGGGGAAAGGAAGGGGAGCCCGTGAGCCATAGCCTGTGCCCCAGACAGAGGGGTCTCCCCACCACCCCCTCATTGGCTCACCCCACCTCTCTGGACCTCAGGGTGGGTCAGGCTTGCCCAGGAAGGTCTCTAGCAGGGGTCCCTGGCACCCCAGCCCCACCCCACTGCCGCCTGTCCTCACCTGATGTCATCCTCATTGGCAAAGATGATGACCGCCCTGGCGTTTGACGTCTCCAGGAGCCGCCGGATGATCTTGTCGAACTCCCCAGGCTTGGGCTCCCGAGGTATCTTGACAGACTGGGCGATGCACACACCCCCTGCAGGAAGGGCACTGGTCAGCCTGGGGCGGACAGGGTCTCCCCCTGCGGCCTGCACTCCTTGGGGCTACTCACGGTCCCCTGGCCTGCCTTGCTCCCAGGTCCTGATCCAGCATGGGTATGTGCAGTCAGAACAGCCACAGTGCAAATTTTGGCTTCACCAAGCTGAGCGACCCTGGACACATCACTTAAGTTCTCTGTGCCTCTCTTTATAAAATAGGTTGCTAGCAAGAAGCAATATAGTATCAGGCTTAAAGCTAGATTGCCTGGGTTCAAATCTCAGTTCTGTTGCTTACTGCTGTGTGATCTCAGGTTAGTTACTGAACTTCTCTGTTGTCTCAAATACATCATCTATAATGATAATAATGCCACCTATTTCATAGGGTTGTTATAAAGCTAAGGGAGTTCATGCATATATAGTAACATCTGCCACACAGTAAGTGTTAAGTAAACATTGGTTCTTTTTGATGTAACTACTTCATAAGGTTTTTTGGAGGCGCAAATCTGAGAATGAGAACAAATTGCCCCCCTTGGGCCATTACAAAGACTCCGGTAGCCACATCCACACACACCTACCAGGGCTCTTGGCCCCGGGCCCCATGGTCACCATCAGGCCCCTTCATAAGGGCAGCGTGCAGGTTGCTGACTTGTGCCTGCACATCCCAGGCAGTGATGCTGTAAACCCAGCTACTGCCCATATGCGGACGCTCCTAAGTTCCCTTCTGGGCACTCACAGGCCACTCAGTATGTAGGCTCTCCAGCTTCCTCCCTGACCCAACAGGGTGTGATGACACCCAGCCTCCCTCCATCTTACTTATGGTCAGATTCCCAGCAGGGAGTTTAGATGAGCCCAGGAAGGCCATGCTTAAGGGGCTGCTTTGGCGGAGGGGCTGGGGGAGCTCTGATTGGGATCAGAAGGTCTTTAGGGGCCCTCCTGTCATTCCTTTCTCTCTGGCCACTGCCTACCTGGCTGGATCCTGGGGGAGGGGAGCCAAGGCCTGCCTACCTTTCAAGCTCATTCCTCTACAAGAAGCCCCCAAGCCTGCAGGCACCACCACGATGCAGTCAACACACCCTGGGATTCACAGCCAGACCGTGTGGCTCACAGAAAGCTGGGAGCACCCTCCACCTCACCCGGCCAGTCCCCGGCCTCAGCTGTGTCTCTCCAGTGCTGGCGGGGGGCCAGCATCATTCGTGTTATCTCAGTCTCCCCACATCTCCTGCTACAAAAGCACTTGTGGACCTGTTTCTAGTGTCAACCGCATTTGACAGATGAGGAAACTGAGGCTCCGAAAAGAGAAGTGATTTGCCCAAAGCCACACAGTCCTTGCCCCACTGGGATACAGGGAATCTTATTCCCCCCAGGGAATAAGACCTCCAGCACCTCTGGTGGCAGAGTCAGGGCTCTGTTGGTTGAAAAGTTTTAAGGAGTATTCTTGATGAAGGCGGATCCTTTATCTGAGACCACTGCCTTCCTCCGGGTCCTACTCAAGGATCTCAGCCCAGCCTCATCTCACATGGGATCCTACTGGCTCACAGCCAAACTTACCCACCTTGGCCGGGCACCTGGCTGCCACCCTGGGGCACCCCCGAGCCTCCGTACGTCTCGCAGTCCAGGCCGGGGTTACCTGAACCCTCTGAGCAGACTCCACGCACCTCTGTGTGGAGGGTGGGCCGCAAGGGTTCTCAGTGCGGGGAGACAGCGCCCACCTATTTTACCCCGAGGAAGAGGGGCCGGCACCCAGCTGCGCCCAGGGAGGGCGCTCTACTCAGGGCCGTAGGTGGCAACCAGGGAAGGCGCCCAAAGGTACTGACCCTGCGCTGAGTGGCTAAGTTTTCGTGGCAGGAGACCCGAGCCGCCAGGGGCGGGGAGGGGACATTCTGAGGAAGCAAGGCACTCACTCTAGAAGGGGGCTGCTCTGCGCCAGGCGCCCGCACGGCCCAGAGCCACCCAACACAGGCTTGCTCTCACGTCGCCAGGAAATGGACCCCCTGGTTCTGTGTAACAGGTGAGGCAGCCACGGCCTCCGTCCCCCACCCTGACCAGCACCCACCTCCTTTACTTTCAGCCACTCGCAGGCAGAACAAGAACCTCAAGTCCTCCTAGGATGCCCACAGAGGCACCAAGCACAGAAGAAGAGCAAGGTTATCAGGGGCTCTTGGGGGACGGAGGGGGGGTCTGGGGGCAGGATGGGACCCCCCACTCCCAGCTCACAAAGAGAACCAGGGGGAGCCAGTCTCCTGCCCCCAGCGCTGGCCCTGCCCTAACAGCGGCCAGACAGACACTCAGCTTCCAGCTAAATCCTCCATATGGTTCCTTTCCAGTTAGAAAGTGGGCCAATTGCTACATTTCTCCCCCCATCTGGGGAGACAGATGGACAAGAGGAGGAGGCTGGACAGGGGGTTAGGATGAGCCACCTGGCCCCAGGAGGGAGGAGGGGGCCAGAGGGCAGAGGGGAGGGAGGCACTGAATGGGAGATAATTGTTCTCAAAGAGGAGAGACTCTTAGGTTAAGTCACATTTCTGGGTGATGCTCCCCTAAGAGGTTCCACCCCGGGGTACATACTGCAGGCTTCGTTTAACTAATGAAAGAAGACTCGGGTGACCACAGCCTAGTCAACAGGTCACAAGGTACTTAAGATGAGAGAGAGTCTAAGCAGGGAGCAATGTTCTGACAACCACAAGAGTGGGGGTACTTGACGGGAGTCTGGAGGGTTTCAAATAGAGCTCAGTAACACTGAATGTTTACAGTGTCCGGTGCCTTTGAATATTAACACTGCACATGTTGCATAGATTCACCCATCTGCAGTCAGTATCATCGGCAAAACTCCAGCTTATTATTGTTTTTATTTTGGCCACACCATGTGGTCTATGAGATCTCATTTTCCCAACCAGGGAGCAAGTCTGCACCCCCTGCACTGGAAGCACAGGGTCTTGACCACTGGGCCGTAAGGGAAGCCCAGCACGGTTCCAGTTCAGAGAGAAGGACGCTGAGGACGGAGAGGCTAAGTGACTCCCAAGGTCACACAGTCAGGCACAGTGCAGGGTCTCAGTGCGGGCCGCCCGGCTCCAGAGAGCACCCTTTCACGCAGTCCAGGGTGTCACGACCAGCCACAGCCAGGTCAGGGGCCACCAAGGGCCCATGCACATGTCTGGGGACAGGCCTGCCCTGGGGCAAGTACCCAGGGGTGTCACTGGCCCCACAAGAGGGAGCCAAGCTCCCTCTGGGCCCCTTGGCGTCACTGCCTGCTGCTCAGTTTGGCTGCTCTGGGGACCACGGCACAGGACCAAGGCTGTCCCAGGGTGACGCAGCTGCCAGGGATAACTAGCACAAGATCTGGCTCCACAGCGCTCCTGTCCCCTGCCCCAGCCAGAGAGGACTGCGGCGGCCCAAGAGGCACATTTACTGAGCACCCACTGCATGCCTGGCACTCATTGAGTGCCTGGGGCAGCTGCTAATGGCCCCATCTTACAGATGCAGAAACTGAGGCTCAGAGGTGCTCAGTTGCCTGATGGAGGTCACACAGCCAGCTGGTGGGCCTGTAAGCCAGGTCTGTGTCAAGAGCCTCTCTTGGGCAGAGAAAGGGAAGTCTGTAGTTGCTAGGTCCCTATTAACCCCAATACCGGCAGCCTGTCCCCACTTCTGGGAAGACCCCAAGTCCCACACCAACCGCCAGCTGGACTGCGAGGGAAGTCCAGCACCGTTCCAATTTAGAGATGAGGATGCTGAGGCACAGAGCGGCTAAGTGACTTCCCCAAGGTCCCCTCCTGTGTCCAGCCCCTGCTTCTGAAGCCCCCTCACTGTGGGGGCCATGGCTAGCACACCCCTGGGAAGTCCTCTCCAAACCCTCCTACCAGGGTGGGGGCACTTTTTTGCACCCCCACTCCTTTGTCCCATGGTCTCTCTCCTTGGATAAAATAAGAATCCATGAGTCCATACTGAGAGCAAAAGTAATCAAATTAAACCCAAGCAGCAAGGAACACACCCAAGCCCTATCTCTGCACAGAGGCTGAAACCCTTCACCCCTCCCAGGCTCCAGGAACAGGATCATAAGGGTATTGGAGGAGTCTGGTGCTCCCCACGGCCCACTTAGGCCCTTCTGGGTCACCCTTGGCAAGCCCCTCACCCCCCACACAGCCCCAGCCCCCTGGCAGGCACCGGTTGCCCTGTGCCAGCTGCAAGCTCCACCGTCCGCCCAGCCAGTGCCTCCACCCAGGGCCAGGGGCAGGAAGCCACAAGCTCGTGCCAGGAGCTTATGAGCGCAAGGGGGCAGTCAGGACCTTGGAGAGCTCCCGGCCCAAGCTCTAGGGGAGCGAGGAGACTGAAGGCAGACTGAGCCAGGAAAGTCTAGAACTCTACAAACCAGCATGTCCCCTTCTACATTCTTCCCAGAGAAACTCGCACACGGGCACAAGGAGATATGCCCAAAGATGATCACTGCGGCACTGCTTGAAACAGCGAAAACATGGAAACCACCTAAATACTTTCCAACAGAAGAATGGAATATTATGTAGCTAAGATATATAAAACAGCTCTCATGTATCAGCATGACAAAACCCTGAAAATTCAAAGTTGACTGATAAAGCAAAGTGCACCACTCTCTGTCCCTTTCATGTGGAAATTAGAGGCCACATACAATACAAGGTGTTATATACGGACACATATATAGACACGAGCAAAAGCTGCAAGAAGGCAGGAGATTTTCCCTGTTGCATGCACTGCGATCTCCCCAGTGCCTGGCACACACTAGGTGTTCCATAAATGCTTGCTGAATTACTCAGACAATAAAGGAACCCAGCCCCTGCAGGGTGTGGGTACCTCAAGGGAGGCAGGGATGGAACAAGACTGAGGGCCCCATAGGAGGGCTCCCAGGCATGATCCCTGTTCATTTCTTGGAAATAATCAGAAGCAAATACGACAACACGTAAATGGTTGGTTACTGTGCAACTCAAGACCCAAGCCAGACCAAACGTGCAGACACAAGCGCCAGTGAAGGCAT